TTTTTTTTTTTTTGTATTTAGTACAGAGTCTACAGGGTGTCGCTATGAAGAATGGACTCGTAGTGAGCCTCCTGTTTTCAGCCTCCCAAGTGCTGGGATTGCAGGTACTCTCTACTATGCCCAGTCTTAATCATCGTCTCAGTGCACCCTGGGGGCGAGGCCAGCATGGCATGCCGAGGATCAAATCCCTGCTGTGCTCTGTCTAAACAGGTGCTTTATTCTGCTGAGCTATCTGGCTGGCCCCTATTTTAGTAATTTTAAATCTGTATTCTTCTTATTTTTATTTTTTGATACACAAAAATCTTTTAATGAAGACAAGTATCTGAGGCCCTTTGCATCCCTGGCCATGTGCCACTCCCACACATCTCTCAGAAGGTATTCTTGATGCAAACAGCCACCGGCACCATGATCTCCCCAGTCTTCCGCTGCCAGCTGGCGATGTTCTTGGACACGGTGCACCGCAGCTCCCTGTGTCAGGGCTCTGCGTGCTCACAGTGTTTCCTCACCTCCTTTTGCTGCTCCTCAGTGCTGTGCTGCAGCTCAAACTTGTAGAAGAAAACTCACACATCCCCTAGGTCAGAATCAATCTTCACTGTGCAATGGAACCACTTCTGGGCCCTGATGATCTTCCGTTCACTCCAGAACAGCTTGGCTATGGCCAGGAGCATGTGAGGCATGCTCACACTCCTTCAGGGTGTCCTCACTCTTGGTCTTCCTCTGGGGCCTGGCCTCAAGGACGATAGCTTCAGACCACAGGATACCAGAGTTGGGGCACTCCTGCAATGGTTGGCCATGAGTGTGTTGGCAATGTTCTTCAGCTCTGCTCAATACTCCAGCTGCACGGACTCCAGCCAGAGCCCAGGATTCTTTGGGTTCTTCAGGCGAGACTTCTCCAAAATGGACTGTGTTTGGGTGAGCTGCCCAATCTTCTCCTCTAGCCGGGAAAGCAAGAGCCACAGGGGTGTGGAGTGGGGGCACTTCTTTAGCCCCTGGTTGTAGGCTTCTCAAGCCTTCTCTATCGGCTCTCCCTGGTCCTCAATCTGCCCTTTCATCATCCACAGCTTGGGGAAGTCCTCATAGTGCCTCAGTGCCTCCTCACACAGCTCCTGAGCAGCTGCAGTGGCCTTCCTGAACACAGGGCTGTGGGTGTGCTGCTCCATGCCTCAGCCAGCAGCCTCTGGGCCTGCTCGCATGCATTATTCTCTGACGCCAGCTCCTTGGCTGCCAGACAGAGTTCCTCACTGTTGGGGCTGGCCTGGAAGGCCAAGGCCAAGATGCTCCTTGCTGTAGGCACGTCCCCTGCCAGCCACTTGGATTTAGCTCCCATGAGGCACAACATCTCTGCTTTGGGGCAGTGGGCCACAGCTCTCTGAAGAAGTGCTTCTAGAGACTCCTTGACAAAGTATGTGGCTCACAGCCACACACTCTTCTTCTTCTTCTTCTTCTTCTTCTTCTTCTTCTTCTTCTTCTTCTTCTTCTTCTTCTTCTTCTTCTTCTTCTTCTTCTTCTTCTTCTTATTATTATTGTATTTTAGGGAAAGGTCTACAGGGTGTTCAGGGTCTCACTACTAGATCGGACTTGTAGTGACCCGCCTGTTACAGCCTCCCAAGAGCTGGGATTACAGCTGCCAACACACCCAGTCTCAATTGCCATGTCAGCATGCCCCAGGGGCTGGGCTGGCATGGCAGGCCCAGGGATCAAACCCCCAGCCCCTGCACCTGTTTGCAGGTGCTTTAATCTGCTGAGCTATTGGCCGGCCCTCACATACTCTTCTTGCTGGAGAATACTTGCAAGGCATAGGTATAGCTGGCTGGCGCACACTCCAGGGCATTGTGGGCCACACAACTGTTAGCATCTTCCATCCAGGTGTGCTTCTGATCTTCTTCTTCAATCCCAATCCCAATCACCACACGCATGACTGCCTGGCACCTGGCCACACTCCCCACCCTGTCATACTCCTCAGGATCCTGGATCCACTGCTCATGGTTGACTTCCAGACCACTGGCCCACAGTGAAGTGATGGCTCAGTCAGTGATCTTCTCCACCAACTGAGTGTTTCCATTGGCTTCCTCCAGCTTGGCGGCTGTGATCCAGATGTGCTGGTCTGTAGGAATGTTCTCATGTGCTTTATTTAAGACCTTGTGGGCATTTTCATAAGTCTCCAGCCTTGCTAGAGCCAGCCAGAGCTCTACGCTGGTGGGACAGCACTCTGCGGCTTGACTGAGCATGATTCTAGCATCTTCAGGCTCTTCCAGCTCAATAGACACTTTCCACAAGCAAAGAGAGTTGGGAACATGCTCAAGGGATTTTTGAAGAACCTACTTCTTTGCTCAAATGTCTGTTTCTAGCTCTGCTGCTCTGATGTAAATCCTAACAGATTGTGGGAGCTGGTGGACAGCTTGGGCTACAACAGCCATGGCTGTGTCTCCAGGCTGCAACCTGGCTGCTTGCAGCCAGACATCTTCACTCTTGGGCACATCTCTGTCCCTTTCATAGTAAGGTTCCGAGCTACTTGCAGCTTTCCAGTTACTTCCTCCAAGTGTGCAGAGGCAATTCAGGCTGGCAAGTGATGAGGATTTGTCTTCCAAACAGACTTGAGGAGCAGTAGTGCTTTCTTTTTTTTTTTTTTTCAAAGTTTTATTGCCAAACAGATAGCAATGAGACAGTTTCAAATCAAATCGGAAGGACAGTTTCAACAAATAATACACTGCATATATTCTTCTTAGTGGTTAATTGCTGTACAAGATGCGGACTTGTGATCCTA